TTGCCTGTCCCAGTTCCCTGTCCCAAGTTCCCTGTCCCCAGTTCCCTGTTCCCAGTTTGCTGCCCCCAGTTCCCTGTCCCCACTTCCCTGTCCCAGTTCCCTGTCCCCAGTTTGCTGCCCCCAGTTCGCTGTCCCCAGCTCCCTGTCCCCAGTTTGCTGCCCTCAGTTCCCTGTCCCAAGTCCCCTGTCCCCAGTTCCCTGTCCCCAGTTCCCTGTCCCAGTTCCCTGTCCCCAGTTTGCTGCCCCCAGTTCCCTGTCCCCAGTTCCCTGTCCCAGTTCCCTGCCCCCAGTTCCCTGTCCCAAGTCCCCTGTCCCCAGTTCCCTGTCCGCAGTTCCCTGCCCCAAGTTCCTGTCTCCAACTCCCTCCCCCCCAGTTCCCTGGCGACAGGTAGCAGGGAATCACAAATAATCCGGGACTTTCCAGACCACCGCCGTGCCTGGCCAGGTTGAAATCTCCAAAAGCCACAAGAGCCCTTTCCGACACAATCTTTCCGCGCTTCTCTGCCGAGCCGCCACAAAAAAAATAACTTGAGAGGAGGGAGACACGAAAGGTAGGACAGCGGGAAGAGAAGAGAACGCGAGAGGCAGGAACAAAAATGCAATGTTCGACATGGTGATTTATCCCCTCGGAGGCGACCTTTCGTAAATATATGTTAAATGTTCAAACATATGCTCTCGAAGTGTTCAAAAAGATTCTTAGGAAAACATAGGAAAACAAACTTGCCCCATGGCTCAGATCATCGGTGAGCATTGAATCGGAACATCATAGGATTTGAACTATCCTGAAACCATAAGAGGCTCACGAAAGCGCTCCCCAGGAGAGAAATGACGTGCTTCACAAAACAAACTCTAGGTATGTATCCCCTCGGGGAACACCTTTCGTGATTAGAATTTCATATTCACTCTTTCTGAATGTTCAAGAGGGTTTCAACTATCCTGAAATCATGAGAGGCCCACGAAGACGTTCTCCAGGAGAGAATTGATTTTAGAGGGGGGGAGGGGGGGGGGGCTAGTTTGGAAAAATAAATCCAAGGGGGGGGGGGGGGGCGGAGGCATGGAAAAATAGGTACAATGAGTCGTGGGAGCTCTCAAGACAACATTTGCTTTGGTTCTAAGTGCAACATCCAGCACCCGCCCATTTTTCCTGTCAGCAAAAGAGCACAATAATACTTCGCAGACGTTAAATAGCAAGGCTGTTGCTCCAGTTCCATAACTGGACTTGAAACTGGAGAACCAGATGCGGAGCGCGATGCCAAGAAACTATCCAGCAAATCATAGAGATTAGGTTCCCTCTATACCAGGCAAGCAAGCAGGTAGGGCCGGGAGAAAGCAACATATTGATCGCTGAGAGTACATACTAATTGCTTGTGTATTGAGCGCGCAGAGTGTAGAAGGGTTAAGTCTAATCCAGCGTGCCAATGTCCAAAGATAGTGTTGTTTGTGTTTGCACAAGCACAGCAAGCAGTGTTTACGCAATTCTTTTTCACCTGTCACATCGAGTTTCTTTTGCGCACCCCGCTCCTTAGGAGACCGGGTTTGCGCTCCAAAGTAAATGGCGTGCGCTTCGCACGCGCCTTCGGCCTTGGAGCTGCTGCTGGACGCTTTTTAGCTGCTTCTGCCACCAGCTCCTTCTCTGTTTTTCTGCGAGCTTTCAATGGCAAGGTTGATGCTTGTTGCGCCATGTCCGACTGCCAGGTTTTGGCTGACCATAGAGGATTTCCAACTCGCTGTGAGAGGACATGAGAGCTTGGCATCTGCTTTGCTGTGGGGCTGTGCAAAGCAATGTTGTGGGCCAATAGTTTGCCCAGCTGCTGGATTTGCAGCTTTTGCACCAATGTGCTGCGGTGCATCTGCTGAGTCTGTCGATACCATGAGTTGATTTCTGCATGGAGTGCTTCGTTGGCAGTAGTGCCTGAAGGCAGCAGCAGACGAACTCGATGTGGTAAGAATTGCCTGTACCTCAAGTTGTTGAAGAGCCACTCCAGCTGCTCTGCACTTGTGACATTGTGTAGGAGCTTCGCCAGCGTAGTTTTAGTCCCTTCGATCTTCCGGCCCATGTCGGTTCTGTGAAGACAGGAAAGTGCAGCCAGTGCCTCCACAAACTGAATCCGTGTAGGCCAGACCTTCAATTCTTCACAAGAAGCCAGTATCCGCTTGGAACGGACAACTGCCAAGGAGCTGTCCAGAATGTGTTGTCGCAACATTTGCTCCTCACGAGATAGGGCCACGCAAGCTTGTCCTTCAAAGAATGGTCCCCAAATGTTTTGGGTCACTGCTTCGTCGTGGTTGGTGAACTTCACCATGAATGACCGAAGTAGGCTCGAACCTGCAGACTTTCTTCCTCCCAGCCCCTGCTCATAGTGCATAGCCGTATGTGTTGGGTCTAAAGACAAGGCCTTGAGGTTTGCGCAGATCGATTTGAGCTCAGAAAAAAGCTTCGGTGAAGGATTGTCGCTTGCAATATGTTTCACTTGCAAAAGTCCAGGCGCTGAAATGCTTTTTTGAAGACACGCTTTGATGTGGTCTGCGCCTTCTCCACAAGATGGCTCCAGGCAAAGCACTGCACCGCTTCTTCCCCGCACTGAGAGAACACGGGTGTAGCTGTCACTTGCCGGAAAAGGATGCTGGTCGCGTAAGGCTCTTGGGTCTGAAAACCGACCCTGCCCCATCAATTCCAAGCATACCTTGAATGTTCCATCAATGGACAGGTACGAGCACTCCTCATGCGCAACAGCTTGGTCCAGGAGATGATGACGGAGTTTTTTGCAAGCTGCTGATGCGAATACGTCCTCAACCACAGGCCACCAACACGCAGTGTGGGTGGGCAGCATTGACGCCAGGCTGTTGCCAGCTTTTGCTGAGTCAAGCAAAAAACGAGGTACCAAGGCAGACACCTGAGGGGTGCTTAGAGCAGTCACTACAAGGGTTTTTCACCTTCATAGCACATGCTGTGCGACCATTGAACCTTTTTCATCTCCCCGCGCCTTGGCATGGTTCAAGAGCATTTCTTGGAAGATCCGCTCAGCGAAGGAATGTGTGTAGTACATATTGCCAACTCGACGCGCGCTGCGAAGCGCTTGCCGATGCACTACCCTTGGACCTGAAGCATCCAATAGAAACCGAATTTCCTTGTCGACGGCGTTGTTCTGCGGCGAAAGCATTGGCTTGATAGATCTTCTTAGCAGCGTGGCGCTTCGCTTCAGGTAGTTCCCTTGCCTTTTTTCAGCAATCATGTCTGAGTCATGGAGAGCAAGAATGATTTTGATCTGCTTTGTGCCGGAACAACAGAACTGACGCTTTGCTGTATGATACCGAGAAAGATGGACAGCCAGACGCTTGCAGCGGTCGAACTTCCGGAAGGGGCACGCAGGGCATTGAAAAGCACCGCGTTCGGCTCGGAATTGTCCAGCCTTGGCAGCTTCCATAAACTTTTGCGCCTCCGTTTGCAAATCACTCAACAACACCTGGTCGGTGATCACACGTCCAGTGTCATCTAGCCAATCAAAGCTTCCCTTCTTTTCGGACACCTCTGGCAGTAATGCTGTGTCCTGAGCATCGTCTGTAGTGCATTCTTCATTTGATTCAGAACTCCCTGCTGCTAAGTCCAGGAGGTTCTCAAAATCGGACATACCCACATCTGTATCCTTTTTGCCGTCCTGAAGTTTGAAAATAACACACGTGGCAGCATCCACACCACCTAACAACGCTGTCTCGAAGTCAGCTACTGCTAAGTGGAAGACACCATCTGTGTCAAAAACAATCAGCTTGTCTTCCTCGTCCTGCTTCACAGCAACGCAATGTGGGCTGCCACCATTTTCGGAATGTAAGAGGAAGTTTCCTCGAAAATCAAAAGACTGAGTGCACAAGACGGGCGAGAAGGAACAGTGGAACATATTGGAACATTGCAGATATGTGCGACATCCACGCTGTTGCATATATGCATTGTCTGGGCATGCTTCTGTCAACAGTGACACCTTCTCTTCCGTAATGGCACCCAAACTGGCCAAAGCGTGGGGAATACAATTCCCTGGCACACAGTAGACATGATCTGTGGGAAAGGGAGCCCTCTTCGCACACGCAGCAGCTTTCTTGATCAAGGCATTCACAGTCTCATGTCTCTTCTCTCGGATTGTGACCTTGAAGCCAGTCTTGTCCAGAATGTAGGATGCACTTTGCTTGCAAACTTCTTCAATGGAGGTGATATGCGGACACCATCAAAGTGTAGTGACAAGTGGGTGGGTGAAAAGGTCAAAAGATGATCGCACCAGTGAGACAGAACGTAGTCTTCAGCGGCCATGTAGAGATAAGCTAGAACAGAGCTGTCAGGGTTTTTCTTTGTAGTGTCCTCCACGAAGGATGCAAACTCCTCAGGTAAGCTGGAAGCAGCAGCCCATTTGCAATACATAGATGCTCGCTGCAAAGATTGCACAAAGTCATGTCGCACCAATTTGCCCGATACATGTCCGCCGTACAGAATAGATACCAGCAGCTCTTTGCCCACGTGCAGGGGCAATTGCAAGACATCTGCGCAAACTTTAGTCCTTTGTGACCTGCACTGGGCAAAGGCTGCTAGTGCATCCGGTGGCATTGGTGGATCCAATTTCAATTTCTCCAGCAGTTGGGGAAGCAAAGTGAAAAGACAATTCTCGATGTCCAGGTCATGTGTCTGATCCAAAAGCATCACCTGCGCTCTTCTGCTGAGTTTTTGAGCTCCGATACCTACCACTTGTTTGCGAGTTCGGATAGTGCAAGGGCCAGGGTATTGGTAGTTCACCTTGCGGATGAGAATGTGATCTTCAGAATTTTCTGTCTTGACTTCAGGCTTTTTCTGCGAGAACCTGCGTTTCTTCTGGATTGGCTCTGTTAGTGCCTCTAGCAACTCCTCTCCGTGAGTCTCACCGCTCCGCAATTTGCGACTGCGAGCTTGCATGTCTTCCTTCTGCTTGACCTCCTCTGGTGAAGGTCTGCCTGCTCTAGGTCTTCTGCTTTCTGAAGAAGCTTGAAGGACATCTGCCAAAATCTTTGAATTAGCTGCTCTGTGAGGATGCTGGGTGAGGTAGTTGCTGAACTTGTCGATGTTATACATTTCAGACAACTCAAGCTCACAAATCCGATCCTGGTGATGCAAAATGTCACACAAAGAGACCTCAGCAGTCAAGACAGGAATGTAGCGGGTGTCCGCCTTCTTTGATCCAGGCAACCTCTGCAAGTACTTCATGTTCAGCAGTCCGTCAAGCAAGCCTTCTCTCGAAACATTTGGGCCACCCTTGGCTTTCAAGCTTGTCAACAAGGCTTCCGGGAAGAAAATTTTCTTTTTGCTGAAAGCCACATCCATGACAGCTTCTCGTGCAGCGCACCATTGAGCTTTTTGTTCCTTTTCTTCATCATCCTCTACTTCATCTAGGTGGATGACTGCAGAAAACTTTGCGTTGGCAGCACGGATATCTCTGGGCGGGAGCCTGCACGCTTCCCTCATTGTTTGCTCTGTCAAGCCACCATCTCCACCCCAAGTGACATAGTTCTCGATCATGTCAATGCAAGCTTGCTTGCTGTACTCTGCCTCGAATGCATGCTGAATTTGTAGCGCTGCAGCGACAGCAGCCGAAGATGTGAGGAAGCTCGCTAAATCTGGGTCTTTCGGAAAGACACCGTCCTTGTGGATATCTGCATATGCGGACGCGATAACCTGTGGATCTTCAAACCTTGCTTTGGCTCTCCAAACCAGCGCTCTTCTCAAAATTGCGTTAAAATTTCTCTTGCCCACATCTTCAAAAGTGAACATACGATTTGCCTCTAGGCGTTTCCAGCCCACACAGTGAATCATCTTGGTGCTGAACCCATAGGGCTTTCGTCCTGCGATGCCGTCGCCACTGACGAATTTCTTGAATAGGTCTTCTCTCAGCTTGCCTTGGGTGTACAAAGTAACGGTTTCAGTTAAGCAAACGATGGCCACATCAAACAGAAGAACTAGAACAAGTAGATTACAAACCCACACTCTAGCCCAGGCGCGACCAGTGCCAGACGGACTCTCCTGCCCAGTCAGAATGCAACGTCCATTCAATTGTTCCACTTGCTTCCTCATTTCATCTTCGTGGAACCAAACGCCAGGGTCAAAGAAAGCAAAATTGCGAGCATACATTGCTTGAAGATGAGTGGAGTAGAGAGATTGTCCAACCCCACCACTAGATAGTCCAATAAAGAGCCGAACAACGTTGAGACCTCGTTTGGCCAAGGCTTGCGCTGCCTGTCCACATTTGAAGGCTTCAATATTCCCCCAGAACGTCTGTGAATAGAACTTGCGAAGCCTTTCCACAATGTCGGCAGGCACTGTTTGCTTGATGGAATGAGGGATTCTCAAATAGCAGTTCACAAGCTGCTCACGCTGAATTTGTCGAGCAGGTAGGAGCTCATCATCGTATTTCACCGCGCAGTCTTCGTAGCAACACGAAGCTTCCACTTCCTTGGGTGTGTCACACCATTCCGACATAAAATGTAGGAGCTTATCTTGGCACAGCTCATATGACAACTGCTTTTTCACTGCCATGATGGTTTTCGCAGTGGCTGCATTCCATGGTCCTTGTGGACCTTGTTGCCCCGGACCCTCTTGCTCTTCATCTGCATGTTCTTCTCTATTCTTTTCTTTGCGCTGCTGCCCTTCAAAAGTTAAGCAAGCATTCACGCACGCAGCCAAGAATTGATTCTCCTGGTTGTCATAGTCAAGGAGAATGTTTTTCATTGCGCCTAGCAGTCCTGCAGTAGTCCGGTGTGTTCGCACGGGCATTTTCCGAAAAATGCCCTCCACATGCAGAAGAAAAGTTTGCACGCGATCATGGTCAGGGGGTATGCCCCTGTGCTGTTGGAATGCACCACTTGGGGTTTTCATGTAGCAGTCGCCTGTGTGGAAACGCAGGGTGGAGTGGCCTTCGGCGACCCAGTACAGCAACGCGCGCTCTCGCAGAAAGATGTCTGCTTGTCTGGCCCGCCCAAATGCCAAGACACACACCCCGAGGCGAATGAAGTAGTCAGAGCCATCCGCAAATGTCTTGCGCGCACAATCTTGCCATAGCCGAACCTTGTGCAAGATGGTGTCTGACGTATCGATCTCCTCTGCAGGTTCTTGCTGGAAGCAGTCGTTCATTTTTGCCAAGGAGTTGAACAGGTGCGCGAAATCTACATCTGACGTGTTGGCTCCCCTCATGTGACGTCTTTGCTTCAGCCTCTCAAAAGTAGCATCTTCTAGAGGAATGTCGTCAGCTTCTTTGTCCTCTTCCTTGACAATTCTCATGGCACTGTCTTCTACTCTCTGGCTTGGACCTGCTTTCGATTTCGCAGCAGTGCGTGGACCGCTTCGCTGGCTGGCCACGTCTACTGAGTCATCAGCGCAACCAATTGCAGGCATGCCGCTCTCTCCTTAAGGTATGAAGCAGACAAAACAATAACTGCAAAGAAACACCTTTCAAGAATAGCTTAACCTTTTTTAACAACTGAAAGAAAATGAGACACAGAGTTCTTGAAGACGAGCATCCATCTGAATCGAACTGGCCACCGACAAGTGCATCATACCCTCCTTGCATACAGGGTTTTTTATTCTTATTCTTTTTCGAGGTGAGCGGCGCATTTGGAACAACTGCCAGCATTGTCAAATAGCGGGATTGAGGTGTAGATGATGCGAGTGGCAAGATATGACTTCCTGGGACTGGTACAGACAGCACGTGCAAGCACATCCAAGCAGCCATCAACCTCTTCAGCCTGTCACGTCTGCTGACAGAAGCCTTTTGAGTTGAAACCAGTTCTAGCAGTCCAAAGTTCCTCTCAATTTCTGGACTGTAGTACGCCATCAGGGCAAGCTCTAACTGTTGTGACTGACCGTTGTGAATCATGGACAGGAAACAACCGTATGCCCTCATCTGAACAATCCAATTCGCACGTGGCTGCTGCAGATCAAAAGGAACTGGTAGAATCCAAAAGAGATGTGGAAACTTTGCAAGTGTAGGAAACGAAGGCTCTACTTCCGTACGGAATTGCTTCAGCTGAGCCCAAATCCTGGCTTGCATTTCTGGATCAATAGGTGAAGGCCTTGGAAAGACATGCTTCTGTTGTAATGTCCACTGTGCAGGACTGCTCCCCCCAAGGCGATCTGTTTGCGATGCTCTCAAAAGAAGATCAGCTTCAGCGCGCATGCGGGGAACATCGTCCACGAACGGGTGCATGCCATTATCGGGGTGACAGCCAACCACAAACATTGCACCCACAGTCTCATTGTAGTATTTCTCGATGATGGAGGCATATAGATTGAGCTGTAGTCTGTAGTGCCATAGTGTTGCATCGGGCACATGAGCCAATGGAGGCAGCATTGACTTGCCAAAGGAGTTGGATTTGAACTGAAGATTCTTTGTTCGCTTCCAGTCGAACAGATACAGAGCGTTGTCCTCACACAGACAGGCAAAACAAAAACAATGTCAACACTGTCTACACTTGGACGTGCCCAAGGAATAACACAAAAGATGTAAAGAAGTGAGAAAAGTAAAACGAAACTGTGTCTGAACTGCAAAGGGTTGGCTGAAAGCATCACCCAAGGGACCGGCATTCTAGCTGCCAAGTCGATGGAGCCAGCAAGGTCCTCCTCGCTTGCGTAGATCGTCCACTCTGTCCGAAAGATCTTTGCGCCAGCAGAAAGCAAAGTCCGAGCAAATTTCCAAAACAGAACATGCTCCATGTCTTCACGATCTTCTGTCTCTATGTAGCCACCATTGAGCAAGCACTCAAAGCTGGCGTGCATCCAGGTGCCCTGTGATGATGCAATCTCAGCAGTTTGTTTCCACTGCTCTTTAATTTCTTCGTCGCTCATTGCAAGAGACAAAAGCAAGTTACTGTCTTCAGGGTGGTGAACCATCAGCTTCTGAATCGCTTGGCACAACTTTGTTTGGCATCTGCCAGGTCCATCCAGGAGATCTAGAAACAAATGCGCGTAAGGAAGTTTGCTGAGGTCAAGTATAAGTTTCTGGGATACGGAGCCCCTCATGTACTGTGGCCGTGGCCAGTTGTTGGACCGTCTCATTGCTTCAATTGCTTTGTCTGCGCAAGTCATGACTGAAGCGATGTATGAGCCCAGTGCACGAAATGTGAACCTTCGATCCGTCCCAGAAATAGGTGTGAGTTGCTGCGTCGAAAGTCAATCGTTCATCTCTGGGGTGCCTGTGTAACTGGCTCAGATGATCCAGTGGAACCGGCACACTGGAAGGCCAGACGTTTGGCTTCAAAGGCATTAAGCTTCTGTTGACAGATCCTCGGATCAGAATTTGGGGAAGAAGTTGTTCTAGATCAGTACCGACCAATGTCTTGAACTTCAGAGACTGTTGCTGCGTTCCAACAGTTTGGCGCACAAACACCCCCTGCTTTCGCAGAGATGTCAATCTCAGAGCAACTTGACGATTGTGCCGAATGTTTGTTGAGCGGAATTGCGCTTCTTCTTCATCCTCTTCGACGCACTTTCGTTTCATGCCAGAGTGGTTAGAGATAGAGCCACCGCACTCATCTTTTCCTCTGCTGTTGTGGCACACATCTTCTTGGGAAGCAATGTAATAGGCAGCATCGACCTCTTCCACATCGATAATCCACACGCCCTTCTCATCTTGACAGTAGGGATGTCCACGCTGAAGGCCACGGTACAGATCAGCTTTTTCCCAGGTATGTGTATACCGTTCAAAATTGATTTCCCATTGCCCATCCAAGAATCGCAAAGCCACAAAGTGCTGGTCTTGGAAGAGAATGCACTTAGCATTCTTGGCCTCGTGGGTGAGTGACTGGGGGTCGATGTACACCACTTTCTTCCTGAAAGATGCATGGGTCATAGCATTGAGTTTCTGTGTTGACACGCAGCAGAAAAAGATGTGACATCATGTTGAACTGAGTTAAGGGCGACCACTTGTTCAGGAAGCGGTTCCCGTCTGTTACTGCGAAAAATGGTCCATGTTCTTCGTACGGAACTTTCCATCCATGGCATCGGAGAACATCAACAAGGCATACGTGATGGAATTGTTTTGTCCTCAGGCAAGGGAGAAGAACGCTAGCATAGTTCAGTGACTATTCACAGATCTCATCAGCCGAGACACTCAAAGCGAGAGATGGTTGTCTTCGGACGGATTTCTGAAGTGGGGCGCAAAAAGCCCGAAGAGCCTCACAGCAATGAAGGTATACAAATGTAGGTTTAGAAATAGAGACCATGCGGACTCTATGTTGACCTCACACCAATGCAAGAGAGAGACTTGAATTCTCAATCATACTTCTGGCTTCTTCTCTGGCAATCGCAACGTATTGCTCCAGAATCTCGCTTTCTTCTTCATCCCTTCTGGCTTCCATCCAGCGCATTTTGCTGGCCCGCCACCGTCTAATGCTTTCTTCACGCCAACGACGTCTTTGCCTCTTGGATAAGCCTCAGTCTTCTATGAGTGTGTTCTAGTAAAGAGATGTCTGCTGCAATCAAGTGGCAAAAAACCCAATCCAGCGTCCTTCTCTTCCATCAGTCGGGCCACGATGGCATCAACAAAGTACCCACCTAAGCACAGTGATCCGTGTGTTTTTCTGTAATGCCGCAATGCCTTAGCTAAATAGAGCTTCTCATCAGATGATACATGGGTAGTTGTCCAATATATCTCTATGCCAAGCAGGACACACCACAGATCATTGAGCGGAATCACATCTCCCACCATGTCACACCATTCATCTAAGCCTTTGCAACGTCTGGGCGCCGCTTCAAAAAGGACGTTGCTGCACTATATTCTAAATTCCGGCCTGTCTTGTGGTCTTCTGCCACCTCCTTCCTTAGCTCTCCATCATCACCAGACAGACACACAGCGCCAGTCATAAAGACAGGTCTGAGGCCACATGCGGGGTACTGTAGTTCTTCACTTGGGTTTGCTCCTAACACGCGTAATGATAAGACTAATCCGCAATCAGGAAAAAGAATCCGTCCTGCCTCTGGCCACGAGGCTGCTAGTAGTCTCGGAGCAGGTCCCCTGGAATCATTGTCTGTTCGCGCTTTCGTGCTTCGTTTCATACCAATACTTACCCAGCCTGAACCGACGATACCATCGCTTGCGTGGGAGCTGCTTCCAGTTCGGAGTGTATTCCGCTGAAGGAAGATCAGCCGTGCTGCGAATCCGGCCAGTAATCTTCCAAACCAATGCATCGCCTAGGTCGAATTGCTCAGTTGCTTCAATGTTTTGTACTAACAGTGTGAACCCAATGACATGCACCATTGGATGCAAGCGAGCCACACCAGGAGGAGTTCAACCACAGCTTATCACATTCTTTTTGTTTCACCACTTTGCATTGGCTTTGTCGAACATGCTTCACTCCAAAGCCGCAATTCATCCCTTGCAGTGATCACTCAAGTGCTTGATCCCGGATACTCAAGTTTCTACTTCTTGAATAAAACAGGTAAGGCTTAATATGGCGAGAAACAGCGCCACCAATCTGCGCAAGTTCGTCCACATACGTGAGTCAACCGGTTGACAATCTCCTTCATGAAGTAGTCGCCTTGCAGATAACTCGCACACATGACTCTTGTTGAAAAATGTATTGTAAATGCAATTTTCATACTGTAGTTCAAGTGGCAATGAATGCGAGAGCTTTGGTCTGCAGCACTACACAAGCGGTGAAGAATTGGCACAATGAAAGTGTCACCTTAGCATCGGAATGTATACATTGTTTATCATTGCGTTATTCGTCATTGCCAAGCTCATCCTATG